GTTGCTCAAGTCTCCCAAAGGGGTAAAGACTTCTCCCGCGACGTGGCGGGGTGAATTCGGGGCATGTAAGGTCCCGCGAAAAGTTGGTCAGGGTCCAGGGGAGAAAATAGTCCGCAGACTGCGGCGTGAGGACTTTGGTCGCTTCTCCTCAATTTACTCAAAGTACTCATTTTACTCAATTGAGTAAAATGAGGACTTTGAGGGAATTGAGGAGAAGCGACCAAAAAGCGGTTTTTACTCATAAGTGTCCAAAGTTTGTCAAATGAACTTGAATTTTGGGGGATGATAGTCACAATCACATGATTTTCAATTTGGCGAAACAGGCTCGCTTAAAATCTCACAAAAAATATAAAATAAATCAGAATGTACGAAGAGGTGCAAGAAAACTTCTGACGCTCGCTGAGAGACTGATCTTGGGGCAACCGCCAGGCCAATACTTGATTGGCGATAAAGCATCGCCGATAATGTGGGGGAGGTTATAATTTATTGGTGGACATCTTTGTGGGAATTTCAAAAACAAGGAGAAGCCACCAACTTGGTCACTTCTCCTCATTTCCCTCAAGTCCTCAATTTACTCAAAGTCCTCATTATACTCAAGTGAGGAAATTGAGCACTTTGAGGGAATTGAGGAGAAGCGACCAGAAAGCAATTTTTACTCATATATGTCAAATATTTGTTAAATGAATCTTCTTCTATCATTTCTGGAAAATGTCTCGTTTTACATAATGCAAGACATAATGGAGAAATGACAAAGTCATTTCTCGAGAAAGAACCACGACGAATTCGGAAGTCCTCACTTTGCCGGGTGTTCCAGGTACTGTGGTAATACCGTCGATCTGTGTGTACGCATTATGTTACTCGTGTAACATGGTACCCTATGTACGCATGTCGCACCTTTCTAGCCAGCTGCACATTTCCAGCCAATCAAAATGCTCACCCAAACCAAACAAACTGGAAACACATCAAAGAGGAAAGTTGAACAAGACAAAATACCAGTGAACTTTCCATCTACAATATCGCTACATAAAAGCAAGCAATCAAGCAGCAATTACAGCATACTATGTAAACCATATTCATAAAACTAATGCAATTGTTACACTAGATTTGGATGAGGTCCACCATATTGCCGTTTGTCTCGTATGATTCCATCCATTATCCTGGTGACTGAGACATTCTGGCCATACACCTGCTTAATTCGTTCAATCGCGGATTGAACAGTGTGCCCATTTGCAACCAGTCGTGAAATTGTATCCCAGACTTGCTTCCTACGATAGAACTTTTGCTTCATTTGACGAGAACAGTTTTGTTCTGTCGCCGTGAAATAACGTGCAGGCTTCCGACCAGCAATCCCATGCTGATACTCCCGCCAGAGTTTGTATAATGACCTGGGATTACCCGATAGAATAGCCATGTTCGCAGCTTTGACGGGACCCACATCCACATTTGCTCCTCTTGCTGCAAGCGGCAGTAGTCTGCGACCAGCATTTGCTTGTTGGATTTGCAAGCCACCTTCAATTGTTCCGCCAAAAGCACAAATATTGTTGTTTAGAATTCGATCGCGATGCTGGATGTAGGCTCTCAAATCTGAAAAATTTGTATCAGATCGAGCAGCAACATTGTTCAATTGCTGTTGTAGTTGCTGGATATTTATCTTGATGCTTTGCAACAAGTCATAAGTCGAGTTCCCTGCCACCACACCTCCACCAGCACCAGTGCTCCCATCACCGTCTATAATAATGGCTTCATCAATCATCAACTGGTCATCCCTCCTATGCACAAATAAGGGCACTTTCTCGACTGGTTGTTGTGTATCCTGATTCAGTTCGCCATAGGCAGTTCGAACACGACTCTTAATACCAGGCGGCACCAGGATGTCTTCGTGCATGCAAGCATACAGCAGCGTCAAGGCCAAAACACGACAAAGACGATTATCCCGCGGAAATTTGGCCCTGATGTTAGGAATAACATTCTCGTAGAGCCATTCAACTGGTAGTTCCACACCTTCTTTGAGTTTGTACTTCACTGGGCCTCCAATGCAAAGTGCAGCCGCAACTTTCCCATCAATGTACTCATGCTTCCTATCAATGTATCGATCCACCACTTTGGGGCCTTTTCCTGCCTCACCTTGCTAGCGCCCCCTGATCTCAATCTCTGGTTTAGAACAACCTTTGTTTGATGCATAGGTTGCCGGGAGCTTCCGCTGGCTGTGAGTTCCGATCTTGAGACCATAGTCTGACTCATCAATAACTGATTTGAATTCAGCTGTGTTCCAGGTGCTCGTCAAAGCACTCCGATATCTAGCTTTCAGACGTTCTGTTGCTGCATCATTCGCCAATTCTAGATCCTCTGTGAACAATAAAACCGCTTGTGGGAACTGTTCCAGGTACAACTCCAAATAGATTGATAAGTTAATCAGGATGCAGATGTCATCATCCATGGACCCCAAGAGGATCTGATCTGGGCACTGGCGTTCCTCATTAATATTTTTGGACCAGAATACCTTTAATTTAAGTGTAAAAGGGAATTTGGGATTGCCTCGTGGGTGAGTGACCTCAAAGTGCACGATGTTGTCGGTTCGGGCAATAATAGTAAACTGCCAAAGGGACATAATGGAATATTTATATTGAGAATTCCAATCGCTTTTTCTTTTCAGCATCTCAAGACTTTTCCGGAATTTGGCTTCTCTCAATGGTCGTGTTGCTTGTGAAGACCTGCCTTGGTGTCTTGCTTCAGCCTTCTTCACATCTGCAATCACCTCGTGAACACTTGAATGCCTTGTCGGATTGTCAGCTTCATTCACCCATGCAACAGCTCTGTTTGGCATGAAGTAGCTGACAGCCTTTTTCATCATCTCAAGCGAAGACGCTCTAGCTCCTTGTGGAACATCACGCTTTTGGTCATATTCCTCCTTTCCGTATGCTTTATTCACCAACCAGCGTTTGATAACAGTTGGATTTATCCCCAATAGTTGTAACCGTGTGAATACAGTGTCCTTGGTGTAGGGGGGATCTGGATCATGAAAAAAATTCATCAAGGAAGTAATGTATGGGCGATACCTTTCATTATCTGTTGGCATATGCCAAGTAGCCTCGTCTCCTGGTGGTGCAAAGCGCCTCCTCCCAGCGTCAGGATGGTCATTATTGGCAGCTTCTTCCTCCATCACGACTGCATTGTCCATAGTTCCTTGTCATTCTGCAGTTGCTTAAGCCTGCATCTCTCGCAAAGAAGAAGGATCGAGAAAGCGTGATTTTTTGGTGATGAATACTGTTTGAAATTTACTCGTGTTGAGATAGAATATTTATGGCAAAAAGTAACTTTTTTGTTTGAGCGATGGCATAATCATATAAATATTATCGTCACTGCGTTACGATGTTGTTGTCTTACAAAGTAGTAGCTATGATAGACGGTAGACAGTATTGTAATCAAACGTATTCTTAAAAAGAGTGTTACCATCGTCAGATCGAC